ATTCAAAGTTAATAATTTCTGTTAATAATTTCAATAGAATGACAGCAATCTAGTATAATTATTTACAGGTTAGAATATAGCCTGCGTCACATCCGGAATTTTCTTCGTAAATACCGTCTGCGAAACATCGCCAGAAAGCTTGTTCTGGACCCCCCACAAATTGCGCGATTATATATAATAGATTCTGATTGGCTGTTAGCCAAGCTCATTCTAACGTGAACTTCCATTGGATAACACTATCAAACCGGATGTGAACGAGCAAAGCGTCCTAGTTTTCAAAATGATGAGGATTCCATCAAAGCATTCTTTGAAAAGGGAAAAGTGTTTGTAAACTTGTCAACGGGCTATGGAAAGTCGCTCACTTTTCAGTGTTAACCGATCGTATCTGATGTTCTCTATATGGAAGACCTCGTGGAAGTAGCGTGTTAGTAGTCATGGGTTATTCCCTAGGTATTTTAGGAATACAGTCAATGCATTGACGGCACACGTGTGAACTCGCTCGTCGTACTTCAAATTATAGTGTTTGCACTTCTAAAATAGGGTTGAGTTTTTGTTTTTTTTAAAAGAAAAACTTCATAATCTTTTGCGATGAATCGATTGCACAAATTGAAAACTTTTGGTGTTATTTTGGGAAGGGTAAAGGTCATTCTACTTGAAGATTATCAAGGAAAACACCGCACTCGCTCGTGTTACAATTTCACACTAAACATCCGGTGAGGATCACATTCGGTTTGATAGTGTTATCCAATGGGAGTTCACGTTAGGATAAGCATGCCTAACAGCCAATTAGAATCTATTATGTATAATCGCGCAATTTGCGGGGGGTCCAGAACAAGCTTTCTGGCGATGTTTCGCAGACGGTATTTACGAAGAAAATTCCGGATGTGACGCAGGCTAGTTAGAATAATGAAAAAAAGGTCAATATTAGGATGAGGTTTTTGCAGTTCCATTTCCACAAAGCTGCTCTAAATTCAAATAGAGGTTTTTTTATTATGCTGCAATCCCCAGAAAGTCTAATAGAATAGTGCCCTTCACAGTTCCCTGCACCATCTTGAAAGGTAGCCATGCCTATTCATCGAAGACAAAATGGTGAGCTTGCAATGAAAGAGACCTTTTTTAACACCTCTGACAATTTTCATGTCTCTATCATTGCAAGCTCACCGTTCGTCTCGCTTTAATACGAAGGCAAAGCTGCCTTTCAAGATGGCGCAGGGAACTGTAAATGGAATTAATGTCAAAGATAAAAAACTGCTCTAATATATTTGGGATTTCTTGTGAAAATGAGGAGATCTACAACAGTTTTACTTCCATTGCTTTATTTCAGTAGCATAATAACAGGCCTTAGAATAACAGTCGATCAGTCACCAGTCATGATTACAGGCCAAATTAGTTTTGCGCTGGTCATACATGTACCTCATTTCTGGCTAAACATTACTAGTCAAAATAACAGACAAGGTGAAGATTTGACCGGACAAGTCCCAATTCTGGCCAGACTTCTACTGATGTCTGGCCATTATTTCAAGCTGTGTAATAGCATGAAGAGGCAAATCCATGCCAGGTCCTGCAGGAACATTGTGGGTTGTTCTATGGTGAGGTGTTATGATTACGATAAAAAGAGGCTGTTGTGACACACTACAATAATGACATCAAACATGGGTTCTACCCATAACTGATACCATCAATATCCTACTATAACATTTATTTATTTTTATAAAATAATTGGGATACTACGCACGCTATGATTGGTTGAAAACCATGTTTGATGAGATGTCAAAACACACTATCGTCATTTCTAATCTATTGCTCGTGCTCATTGGTCAGTTTGAATAAGACTGCACGTAGGGAGAATTTACTTAGACTTTGCTTTTTTTCGATCTTTTCACATATTTGTTATTTTATAAAACAAATCAAAAACAGTTTTCTGTGTTTGATACTCTTATTGAAACACTTGGGATGTTGGGAGAACACTTGAGAAACTGGAAACCTACGCTCCTCTCGTGTTCTCTCAACGTCGTGTTCTCTCAATGTTTTGATCAGAGTATCAAACACGGAAAACTGTTTTTGATCTGTTAAATTCATAGTTTACAATAAGTTGTTACCTGTTTCTGGCATGGAGTCCAAGACCTTGAGAAACTTGTGAATTAGTTTTGATAAAAAGGACCTAAGTTTTTCTTGCCTGAAAATAAAGGATGAGTCTCTTAAGTGATGCAATGTGGGACATTATATTAATAAGACCACAAAACAAACTGTATTTTTTTACTCTCACACGTTTCCATGCCAATCAGACTTACTTTTGTTTTGTCTCTTCATCCAGWGAGCTTTCCTTTTTCTTAATGTGATTCCAGAATTTTTTGTACTTTGGAACTGCCTTCAGCTCCTGCTCAAGACGTCCCTGTTATTTCAAGAACACATCACTATCAAGATGGCTTTTCCTTACAACAAATGTGTGAGTTGTGCATCTACTAAATGAATTAAGGTTTGTGGCCGTGGATTCAACCCTCAAACTCTCCCAAGACATGTACTGTATGTACGCAAGTGTGGTCAACTGTATGAAATTGAAAAGTCCTTAATGTTATGTAGTACATGTTACAAGCCAGGGCCGGGTTGTTCAAAGCTGGATTAGCGCTAATCCAGGATTAATTCTATAGGTCTTATAAAGAGTTAACCCAGGATTAGCACTAATCAGGCTTTCAACAACTGGGCCCAGTATTGTACACATACCTTCCTACTTCTACAAAAGCATTTGCATCTGTTTATCTGATGATGATCAGTGGATTCTGATCAAAACGTTAAAATAAAATYCTTGTATGGAAATGTTTAATTGTTTCACTACTGAATGTTTAAATACAACTTTTCATAATTTTGTTTATTGTAAAACTAAGGGCAAGCTTGGGCTGGTAGTGCAATTAAATCTCAAGAAAGTAAAGGGAATGAACTTACAGGAAGAAGACAATTCCAGATAGAAATAGAAACCATGTGTTGAATCTGTTCCCGAATAAGGTCCATTTCCTGTACATGACGACAAAAAAAGATCACCAGGTGAAATTTCACCAAAATTGTAATACATTCACAATAGATTTTTACTGAATYGCTCATGTGACGACGAAACAATAGCTACAAGTAGAGATTGGACTTGTGTTCATATATATGCTATATTTTACTCAAGTTAATTCTGGAAAGGTTTATTGATTGACTCTGAAAATCAAGAAGGTAGGTAGTTTATTATGAAGAATGATCAAGAAAACCTTACCAGGCTATTGAAGCAATGGATCAAGAAAATCATAAGGGATGTTTGCTCCTTGAAAGAGATTTCCTGATACAAAAACAATAAAAACAAAACACACTCAGTTTACTCTTAGGATTTGAGTAGAGGGATGTATTATTACRTAAGAAGCTAAAAGATTGAATCCTTCTCAATATTGGAAATAAGATTTATTTTAATCACTYRTATTKGAAYTCAATGCTTTATTTTAGAAGGTTTGAATGCCGTAAAAAGTTCAAATAATAACCTGAAAGTGTTCAATGTTAGAGCTTCCTCACTGTCTCATTACTGTAAATTCTAATTTTAGCAGTGCTATTCTTGAATGGGTATTCRTTGATAGGTGTATGGATGTGATACACACTAGGTTTAGATTTAAGGTGCTTTGGGTTTTAGGTTTACAGTTTTTGTTCATGCATTCTGTTTTCATGTTACCTCTATCTAAGTAAAAGAAAACTTACACTTTCATCGTCAATCAGACACATATCAACCACYCTGAGTAAAAACCCAGGAAATTGTTTTGGATGATCCTTGAACACCTGAGAAAAATTGAAATAAAAAGTTCATTGACCACAAGAAAAATAATAAATAAATTCCACTGTATTAGGTACATTGTATAATAAATGTACAACGACAATCAATGTACAATGACTGCATTTTGCAATAAGTTTTTTCATTTTTTATTCTTTATTTATTTACTTATTTACATTATTCTCAAATAGTTACTTTGTATATATATCTATTTCTCATATTTACTATTAGTATTTCACAYATGTTCTTTGAATTTGTATCTCACTATGACATTTTGTGATAAGTTAATTTAAATTTTGAGATTGTCTCTCATTGAGATATAACAGTGAATATAAATTAAATTCTATAATCAGGAACTTTGTTTGCTGTTAATGGTTCAGCAGACTTTATCAGCTGTGGTGAATCTATACCCACTCACAGAGTGTGAAAATAAATTTAGAAAAACCTTATCCTACCTGCCAAGAAGAAACTCCTTCCCTAAACTTCTCATTCACCACTAAGACGATGGACATCAAGTGTGCTAGAGATGCCTGTAGATCAGAAACAGTTTAGACGTTGATTGATAAATGTAGACACAAGGCATTTTAGGTGGTCTAGTTTGAAATTGGCAAACGTTAACATTTTTAGGCAAAAAATATACGTCTCAGAAGCCAGTTACAACATGCTTATATGTATGGTATTTGGATAACCAATTTCTAGAGCTAGACATAACTAGAGAATTTGTGTCTTTACCTTTTCTGYGTCAAAGCTGGGCCACAAGTAGTTTTCGAGATATTGACTGAATGAAATAAAGATTAAATAAGATAAAAATATCAAATAAATTAGCCATTCAAAGGTTGTATGAAGAAAAAAAATGGGTCTAGCTGGTATTGCAGTTTGACATTGACATTGACAAAGTGGGACAACTTTCCAAGATTGAGTCTATTTTATCCCCTAAGACAGTCCCATAATGCACTGCAATGCTGACTCAACCCAGTTTTTTTAACCTGGGAACAACTAATAAATAAAACAAATAAAAGAATTGATCAAACAAAATCAAAACCACATTAAGATTGAATAAACATTCACCTGAATTCCAAAAGCATCATTTTTCTCACAGAAAACCTGAAATAATTTGATGACAATGTCATGRATTAGAACAGTGTATAAAACTTTACATAAGTTGAAGTTGTCTTGCTAGCATCCAATGACAGAAGTAGGATCCATTCTTATAAGAGGCTTTGCAGCATCACATTATGGCAGCCATGACAGAATGCAAAAACATTTGAATCTAGTCTAATCTGATTTACATGAGAAAGACTCAGTTTTCCCTGAGAAAAATGACTATTTTTGTGACTCCAATCATGGCTGCCATCAGTGTTGGTGCAAAGCCTCCATATGCAGTGACAATAACTTATTAACCAAGTATCATTAATGTGACAAGAATTTTTGTAAAGATTACAAGAMATKATGGGAAGCATGGGTGGCATAGCGGTGAGAGCGCTTGCCTCTCACCAATGTGACCTGGGTTCGGGTCCCACTGAGCTCGTTGTGGTGTGTGAGTAGAGTTGCTTGTTGGTTATCTCCTGTGCTTTGAGGATTTTCTGGGTTCTCYRGCTTTCCTCTCTCTGTAAAAATCAACTTCTAAATTCCAATTGGAATCCAGTGGAAGAAGAATCACTCTGTGGAATCCACTGTTAATCCCATTGGTGTCGTCATCGGCGGCGCCGCTGCTGTCGTTGTCGTCGTTGTCGTCGTTGTCGTCATTATTATTACATTAGTATTACAGCAATAAGGATAATCTAGTAGATAAATCAATGTTGGTTCACTTACTTGCTCCCCTTTATTTCTTCATAATAGACTTTTTCAATAACCTGAAAATGGTAAGGAAGTACAGGTAAATTAATAATTTTATGTGAAGAAACACTTTAGTTATGATTTTTGTGTGGAGCATTTCATTTTTTTGTGTGTGTTTTCACTGGCTTATGTAATTATCAGTGGACATTTTGCACGTCTTGAAATAATGACCAGCCATCTAAAAAATGTTTGGTAGGAATTGAAACATCTCGAAATTTTTCTCTTGACAGTCCTTTTGACCAGTAACAACCAAAAATGAGGTATGATCAAGCTWAAACTAATTTTGCCAGCAATCATAACAGCGACTGACTAACTCCRTATTCTAGTCCTCTATTATTAATGATGTGCAGCAAATCCTTGACAACCATTTTCTAGTTACTATAAGCATGGGTATTACTGAGCAAAATGGCTTACCTGAGGATCAAATGGTGCTTTTTCAACTTTAGGCAACCAGTATTTTTTTCCCAACTGCAAAAAGTGAAAAAYGGTTAGACCTAAATGTAATCAACATCAGATCGCAATCATGGCACTCACTGAATCTTKTGAAGGAATGAGAATCAAAGTGGAAAACTTGGACAAAATTCAAGGCTCAATGCAGAGACCCAACATATCTTGAAGTAAAAGGTTCAGCATTTCTCAAAAGAGCTGAAAAATTTGTGCCAAGTTTGCTCAATCTTTGCTAGGCAAGAGATGTTAGGTTCCCACCCCAGACATGACACTGATGCATGCCATTAATTATAAATTAATATTCATTAATTCAACTTATCCAAAAAGAAGCAAAGCCAAAATTCTTTCAAGTTTGAAAACATTTTCAAGGTTCTCTAACCCTGGAAAGTTATAAAGGTTAAAAAGTGGAAGTATGGGCTCCCTGTGTTGTCAAGCTTTCAAACTTTGAAGTGCAATTTTGTTCAAGCCTCAAARTAATATCCATTTAAAAATTAAAAAATATATATTAGCACACAACAGTATTTGGATACATTCGAAACTGCTATCTCGTTGCGGAAACTCTTAAGTCCAGAAGCCTTCACACTGTTTAGTTGAAAGCTGTATTTCGATATATTCCTGGGTAAAATATTTCCAATATTTTTGCTCCAAGTTAATTTTGAGTGTTTCTATCTTACCTGAGTTATGGTTTCAGCRTTAATCTGTTTAACAGTAGGAATACCCGACTGCTTTCCTTTCTTCATCTTGTGAATCAAGTTAAATAAGTTACAAATCTTTTGAAGATGGTTTTGCACGTGCTAACGTGACAACTACGTTTTCTCGACACTCCAAGTTAATTCTCCATAGTCTGTAACCCTAGGTAATGAAATTTTCAACTCAATCGTATGCTTTTGGGAAAAAAACGCATCTAAGGTAGGGAACTGAGGAGATAACAGACATAAATCACAAGGAYGTAACAAAAGTTTTCTGAACTAGTWAYTGAGCCTAAAGATGCAAGATGGCGGAATGACCATGGACGTGAGAAACTGGGTCGATAATAAAATCACAGGCAACCCAATATAGTATATTATTGACCGATGATAAGTTGGATAAAGGTGTATTGCTTACTATCAATCACGTGACTTTTTTGGGGTTTACTGGAGGGCAACCAAGCAGTTAACTGAGGGGCAACTTGTGGATGTTAAGTCAAAACATATCCCCAAACTATTGTAYATGTCTATTTCTACGTTACATACTATATTTTTCTGCTGATCTGAGAAAACCCCTCACCCCTCTGAAATCACAGATTTCAAGATGTTCATGAGTTTTAAATTCTTATACCAAARACAGTCATGTTTTTTAATATTTTTTATTTTTCTCTTCTTGACGACTCAGTTTTGCAATKTCATCATTTTTATGTCACTATTTCAGTTCAGCTGGTTTTGATAGTTTTTTAACCAGAAAAGGCATTTTACTTTAATATTGTGAGAAGAAAATTGAGTTAATGATGACTGTACSTGTTGAGTTAGATGACAAACATTGGACTTTTGGCCTGGAATGGGAAATTGGTTTGAAGTTATGGATTGAGCACTATTTAGGCTTCCTGTGGTGTTATGACCGGACCTACGGACAGAATTCAGTGACATGGTGGCTTGCCTTTATGAGGCTGTAGCCACAAAAAAATGGTGGCCATTGTGGTACTGTTAACAAAGGATGCCAGTAAGAAATGGTATGTTAAATGACACCAACACTCTTCCAAGAGGCAGCAATGATGTAACATACAATTGAAGAATTAAACCCAGGGTGCAAGAACCACTGTAATTATATATTTTATTTCATATGCTGAACCAAACTGGAAATGCAATGACAATAACAATAACGATCACTGGAAAAATCATAATAATCTGTCAAAATTGAAATATGTCAAAATAAAATGTGATATGAATATAATAATATAATGATGTTTAACAATAATCACCAAAGGCAAAGTGATTATTGGTGAATATTTATTGAGCCATGAGTCTTCGAGTGACTAGGTAAATATTCACTATAATCAYTTTAAGTATAATTTTAAACTTGAATATCAGACAAAAGACAAAATTGGGGATAAAAATCGTTTTAGTATATAATTATTAYTTGGGCTCTGGCAAACGTTGGAAAACCTTAAATCACAGCTGTAGCGGTGAATGTCATCTCATAATCACTGGTCACTTGACCAATCACAGTGTTCAAAACTCAAGTCTAAAATTTATATTAAATATGAATATTCTCGTTATCTCCATATGTAAAAAGTCTTTTTGACGTCATTAATGATCTCTCTTGATATATCACCATTATCAACTGAGTGACCATAAGAGACTATAAAGTCATAAGTTACAGTAAGATGTCGTCGGTATTCAGGGTTACGCTTGATATAGATTGTACCTTTCAGGTAATTACCCTTCTGGACAGTTATTGGCTCRTCAAGTAAGAATAAGTCCTGTTTCCAGTGAGTTAGTTCACTATCAGGGGAGGTTGGCAGGGTGACATAACGTGTACCATTTGATAACGGGACACCACCAAAAACTACTTCAAACCAAGAACAGAATCCATACAACAAAGAATCTTCATTGACTTCAAATTCAAATGAAGGTGCACAGACTTCAATCTCTTCTTTCCTAATTTCCATCATTTCAAATTGTGTTAGGAGCTTAGGCTCTGATAGACAATCATCCATATTGAAAATGTGGTCATAAATGGGTCTTGATAGGAATTCTCTTTTAGAGACTTCTAATGCTGGGGAGAAATCAAATCCATACTGATCTCTCCATACTTCTACTTTTTTGTCATAAGGATCTTTCGTCGAACAAGGAACAAGGAACAGCTTGGCATGGGATGGCCATATGATACCCTCGGGCTTCAACCAAGCATCCCTTGCAGCTAATACTGACTCAATCATAAATTCAAACACCAAGAACGTCCCCATCCACTCAGAAATAATAACATCTACTTTTTCTGGTAGTTCTACCTCTTCTATTCTTCCCTTCTTAACAATAATCTTATCTTGGAAATTATTTTGTTTTACAATTTCAGTGGTTAGGTCAGCAATGTTGCTAGCTTCAACAGCATACACTTTCTTACATTCACCCTCTCTGGCACAAAACAGACTTAGTATRCCAGTTCCACAACCAACATCCAAGATAACCTTGTCTTTCAGATACCCAGCGTGTTGCTGGATYGCCCTTTTGTACGCGCAAGTTCTTGGACGRTCATTAAGCATTTCAAGGTGAAGACCCAAGGYACCATAGCTGTTAAAATATTCCTCATYTTGCCATTTGTTTTCAGTCTCGTAGTCTTCTTGCCTTACAAGGTAATTGACAGGTGAGTATCCACAGGAGCCATCCAATTCAGTCCACCACCAGTCGTTTGTTTCTTTACTGAGAACCGTGAGKTGATCCCCTTTTCTAAAACTCAACTGGCTGTCGTCGTTAGGGCTGTAGTCTGCAATGGCCACCACGATTTCTAAACGTCTTGCAATTTCATACCATTCTTTATCGTCTTGGTTATCTRCTGACAAGGACCCTTCATCGCTATCTTGACCGGCTTTGTTCGCGTTTAAAACACTCGCAGTTGTTGTTTTAGTATTGGATTCATTCACCATGTCGTTCATGTTCGTTCACCATCACCATGTTGGAATGAATGGAATGGCTTTGCGACTAAGCGRGCCARCTTCTCGTGGAGATGTTACATAATTTCCGATCTCCTTCCGAGAATTCTCCGAGAATCTTCCGAAACTCTCTYGAAAAGTATAAAAAACGTTTGCGCAAGCTCTGAATCCTTATGYAAATTAGTCAAATCGTGGTTATAAGTCATCCATCCTTTATCATCTTTTACCATCCCTAGGCATCCTTTATTATCCCTAGCCATCCCTAGCTATCCTTTACTATCCCTAGCCACCTCTAGCCATCCCTTACCATCCCTATCCATCCTTTACCATCCCTAGCCATCCATAGCCATCCCTAGCCATCCCTTGACATCCTTTACCATTCTTTACCATCCCTAGCCATCCTAGCCATCYCTAGCCATCCYTWRCCATCCCTAKCCATCCYTWRMCATCCCTARCCATCCTTTACCATCCCTAGCCATCCTTCAGGGATGGCTAGGAATGGTAAGGCTTGGGATGGTAAAGGATGGCTAGGGATGGTAAAGGATGGCTAGGGATRGTAAAGGATGGATAGGGATGGTAAAGGATGGCTAGAGATGGCTAGGGATGGTAAAGGATGGCTAGGGATGGTAAAGGATGGATAGGGATGGTAAAGGATGGCTAGGGGTGAAGGACTCTTCAAAATTATGGAAACGCGCTGAAATGCATGGATACATGTAGTCACTAAAACATKGAATGATCTACAACCACCTAAAAAAAGCCATAAATGTCCAAGAGTACATAAGGCGAAACAACTCCGAAATAACAAGTCACGTTCATGAAATACGAGAATCGAACAAAACCTTCAGCTCTCCCCCTCCCCCCCCTCCCCCAAAAAAATCTTATTTCTCCATTTTTCTGATAAAAATTTGCCCATCCCCCCTTTTTCCTACCAAAAATTTTCCCGAT